ATCCTGTTGCGTAGCATTGGTTGAGGGGCAAGCGGTGGCAATATGATTCTCGTCGTATTTGATAATTTCTAGTTGGTTATCTATTTCCTTGTGGGGATGTGTTAGGATTTCATACTAGGGTTCTTAAGAGTTGTCAGTTGGATGGTCTTGGGAGCGTGATCTGGCAACACGGAACTGCTGTGTCATTCCTTTTCCCTCGCCGTGTTCTCCCTAGGTTCACCAATCATCCGTCTGTATGACTTCAGGCATGTTGTTTGTTATCAATTTTTGGTAAGTAATTTATTTTCTTGTTTGGGTTTTATTTCTTTATGATGCCTCTGTCTGTAACAGAATATCATTTTTTAAAAATATGTTGTTCACTGATAAAGACTGGTGGAAACGTATATCACAGGAAGAGGGTGCGGGCCGCTCCGGATGTCACACTAGCAAAAGTGGGGCGCGGGGGTGACAAAATAGTAGTGATATATATATATATATCATTCTTGTTGCATGACATGGAGGTGTGTCGGCATACGAACTGATACATGCTGCAGGAGATTGCAGATTATGAAGTGGCATGATCGCCCTCGCTAGCCGGCAAGGCGCCTGATGATAACATATATATATATATATATATATATATATATATTATGTGTGTGTGTGTGTGTGTGTGTGTGTGTAAGAAAGTGGGAAGAGGGGGAGGGGCAAAATGGCAAAACTAAGTGTTGTTTATACACACATATTTGAGTAGCATAGTACACCACTCTAGATGTTCGCTGACTGTTGGTAACCACCAAACCTACTTACCCTTATCCGTTTCATTAGTACCAATCATCTTCTGGAGTACATTCTGGTTTTGGCTAGGCTTTTCGTTCTAAACGCTTTTTAAGCGTTAAAACATAACTATTTAGTGAGAGAGCGCATACAATTAAAAGGATTTAATTCTTCTTCTTCTTCTTCTTCTTCTTCTTCTTCTTCTTCTTCTTCTTCTTCTTCTTCTTCTTCTTCTTCTTCTTCTTTTTCTTTTTCTTTTTCTTCTTTTTCTTCTTCTTCTTCTTCTTCTTCTTCTTCTTCTTCTTCTTCTTCTTCTTCTTCTTCTTCTTCTTCTTCTTCTTCTTCTTCTCCTCCTTCTTCTTCCTCTTCCTCTTCTTTTTCTTCTTCTGCTTCTTTTTCTTTTTTCTTCTTCTTCTGCTGCTTCCTTTCGACCTTTCTGCGCCTATTGGACCAACATGTTCAGTTACAGCAAACGTTAAACCTGAGCTTGTGGGAGATAAGTCTGACATTTCCTCCCAGTGGAAAGGACGTGACGCTTACTGTACTTGTGTAACAGAATCATCAATCGGGGCCAGACACAGAGATTAATGAAGGCCGGTAATATCGGTGGTAGTAAACCTTAGCAGCTGGGAATACTAAAGATGAAGAGGAAGAAGAAGAAGAAGCAGAAAAAGAATTCGGAGAAGAAGAGGAAGAAGAAGAAAAGAAGAAAAAGAAGAAGTTTTATTTATTCGAAATCGGAGTGCATCCGTCCGAGAAGTAAGAAACTAAAAGTCTGCGTACAAATAAGCCAGGTCTGTAAAACAGATATGCATGCACAACTTAAGTTCTGGGACAAGACTGAAGTCCACAAATGTACCAACAACCAGAACTGTCCAGCCGATGAACGCTAAGAAAACGAAGCGACCAGTTTTATAGTATCGCCTGTGCCATTTCCTGGATCCAGGCTGCTAACCGGAGGTTAATACCCTGAGATTACAACATTTTAGTCTGGATAGCAGATCCACGTGGTAATCCTAGATACCCCTTTTAGACTCCAAAATATGGTGTAATTGGATACAACAGTCTGAGGTAACTTGCAGTCTTGTGCGCGTAAGGTATTCAAGTCATGTTCCGTGTGGTTAAATGCCATCTTCTCCTTACATTCGATCGTTGATACGCCTCTGTGGTGGAATTTAATGAGGCTGACTATGAGCTGGCTGATACGCCTCTGTGGTAGAACTTAATGAGGCTGACTATGAGCCTGGTGATACAGACACTGTGGTAGATTTTAATGAGGCGGACTATAAGCCTGGTGATACAGACACTGTGGTAGAACTTAATGAGGCTGACTATGAGCCGGGTGATACAGACACTGTGGTAGAACTTAATGAGGCTGACTATGAGCCGGGTGATACAGACACTGTGGTAGAACTTAATGAGGCTGACTATGAGCCTGGTGATACAGACACTGTGGTAGATTTTAATGAGGCGGACTATAAGCCTGGTGATACAGACACTGTGGTAGAACTTAATGAGGCTGACTATGAGCCGGGTGATACAGACACTGTGGTAGAACTTAATGAGGCTGACTATGAGCCGGGTGATACAGACACTGTGGTAGAACTTAATGAGGCTGACTATGAGCCGGGTGATACAGACACTGTGGTAGAACTTAATGAGGCTGACTATGAGCCGGGTGATACAGACACTGTGGTAGAACTTAATGAGGCTGACTAAAAGCCGGGTGATAAGACACTGTGGTAGAACTTAATGAGGCTGACTATGAGCCTGGTGATACAGACTCTGTGGTAGATTTTAATGAGGCGGACTATAAGCCTGGTGATACAGACACTGTGGTAGAACTTAATGAGGCTGACTATGAGCCGGGTGATACAGGCACTGTTGTAGAACGTAATGAGGCTGACTATGAGCCGGGTGATACAGACACTGTTGTAGAACGTAATCAGGCTGACTATGAGCCGGGTGATACAGGCACTGTTGTAGAACGTAATGAGGCTGACTATGAGCCGGGTGATACAGGCACTGTTGTAGAACGTAATGAGGCTGACTATGAGCCGGGTGATACAGACACTGTGGTAGAACGTAATGAGGCTGACTATGAGCCGGGTGATACAGACACTGTGGTAGAACGTAATGAGGCTGACTATGAGCCGGGTGATACAGACACTGTTGTAGAACGTAATGAGGCTGACTATGAGCCGGGTGATACAGGCACTGTTGTAGAACGTAATGAGGCTGACTATGAGCCGGGTGATACAGGCACTGTTGTAGAACGTAATGAGGCTTACTATGAGCTGGGTGATACAGACACTGTGGTAGAACTTAATGAGGCTGACTATGAGCGGGTGATACAGATACTGGTAAAACTTAATGAGGCTGACTATGAGCGGGTGATACAGATACTGTGGTGGAGTCAGCTTTACTATCCAGTATTGTGTTTCTCTAGAGGATTTTCCTCGTTTGAACTCGATTCAGTCAGAAGTAACTGACGTCATATTTACAATGGCTAGGCTCTTTCAGATGTGAAGAACGCTTTTGGAATGAAGGGTGTACCGTCTCTTCGGACCTGCACTGTTTGTCTACTTAACTCTTTCTTCATCGGCGACCCGATACTACTTAGATCAACCACAGCCAACTTCAGGATACGCCTCACGTGTGTGTTTTGTGACGTCATATTTCCATCATTAAGTATATGCTGTGTATCAACACACTGGGTTATCTGGGCGGCTTCCCTCCCAGATGTATGTGTTGCTGTTATGTTGTGTTATCGTCATCGATCTGACTGCACATTGGGCATTCTGGAACAGGACTAAGTCCAGAAGTGGATTAACAACAACAAAATATTTCCGCCTGAGTTTACAACCGATGAACGCGAAGAAGAAGCTTTCTTTCTTTCTTTCTTTCTTTCTTTCTTTCTTTCTTTCTTTCTTTCTTTCTTTCTTTCTTTCTTTCTTTCTTTCTTTCTTTCTTTCTTTCTTTCTTTCTTTCTTTCTTTCTTTTCTTTTCTTTTCTTTTCTTCACTTTGCTTTTCTATTCTTTCTTTTCTTTCTTTCTTTCTTTCTTTCTTTCTTTCTTTCTTTCTTTCTTTCTTTCTTTCTTTTCTTTCTTTCTTTTCTTTCTTTCTTTTTCTTTCTTTCTTTCTTTTCTTTCTTTCTTTTTCTTTCTTTCTTCTTTCTTTCTTTCTTTTCTTTCTTTCTTTCTTTCTTTCTTTCTTTCTTTCTTTCTTTCTTTTCTTTCTTTCTTTCTTTCTTTCTTTCTTTCTTCTTTCTTTCTTTCTTTCTTTCTTTCTTTCTTTCTTTCTTTCTTTCTTTTCTTTCTTTCTTTCTTTCTTTTTTCTTTCTTTCTTTCTTTCTTTCTTTCTTTCTTTCTTTCTTTCTTTATTTCGACAAACATGGGGGGGGGGGGGGGGGGGGGGGGGGGGGGGGGGGGGGGGGTATATAATATATAAGTAAGAAAGTGGGGAAAAAAAAGGGGGGGGGGGGGCAAATGGCAAAACTTTTTTTTCTTCTTCTTCTTCTTCTTCTTCTTCTTCTTCTTCTTCTTCTTCTTCTCTTCTTCTTCTTCTTCTTCTTCTTCTTCTTCTTTTTGCATTCTGTTTTGAATGCTGTTGTCAGATCATCATGTGGGTGGGCCGCCTCTGTGAATACGCATGTCAGTTGCAGGTTCCTACGTGGTTCCACATAGCCTGCTCTGTACATTTTGCTTCTGAGGCCGTGTTTCTCTTCGTAGTTGTAAGTATAAGGGCAAGGCCTGCAGAACGTGATGTCTTTCTGTTGTGTGTGATAGTTGTCTTTTAGCCCTCGCCTTCAAAATAATCCGGGCTGCTCTTTTTAGCTGTTCATGGAATTGTAAAATTTCTTCTGTAAAACTCCATCTTTGCGGCCTCCAAAAATTGTTTAGCTTGTTTATTCATTGTCCAGGATTGACAGCCGTGTGTATAAACTGGCTCTAAATAGCATGAGCAAATTTGTTTCCTAACCTCCAGTGACACATTTATTCCATAAAATGTTCTTTATTGTTTATAATGCTGTTTTTACCTGCCCTATGATGATTGCTTATGATGATGATGCTGTTACTGTCGTTGCTGCTGCTGTTTTTACTACTACTATTGTTGTTGCTGCTGCTACTACTACTTCTGCTGCTGCTGCTAATAATAATAATAATAATACTTGGTCCACTATATTTTATTTTAGTTTCGTATCATTCATCGGTTATTGAAAAATGTCAAATGTGTATCTTTCCAGGAAAGGACGTAGAAAAGATAAGGACGCAAACACTACAGTAAGCACAGAAGAACAGAAAGAGTACCTCGAGGACCCAAACATCAAGGACAGAATCTCAGACGCCGATTTATTTCGGTTAGTGGCGCTACCCCCAATGTTGGATCTCAACGAATGGCTGGCCACCCACAGTAAGTACTCTACCCATTTTGTCCTTGCGTGTTAGCCTTGGCGTCTGTGTTTAGTCGTTGCTGCAACCCGATTTGGCACGAAAACTTTGATACATCGACTTTTGAAATAAATTACTGGCTGCCCTGTAGTGTTAAAAATTATCTGAGAATGAAGCATCACAGTCAGAACCCACCCACACTGGACTACAGGTCAAGACTCGACCAAGCATAGTGTAGAAGAAGCCCAAGTAGAATCCCAACGCGGACTACAGGTCAAGACTCGACCAAGCATACTGTAGAAGAAGCCCAAGTAGAATCCCAACGCGGACTACAGGTCAAGACTCGACCAAGCATACTGTAGAAGAAGCCCAAGTAGAATCCCAACGCGGACTACAGGTCAAGACTCGACCAAGCATACTGTAGAAGAAGCCCAAGTAGAATCCCAACGCGGACTACAGGTCAAGACTCGACCAAGCATACTGTAGAAGAAGCCCAAGTAGAATCCCAACGCGGACTAGAGCTTATCAGGACTGCCTCGTCTAACCGTTTTATTATTCCCCAATATAACTGTGCTATATGGCTATACGGGCTATTGCGTTTCCTGAGTTTGTACCTGTTTGATTCTCATCCTTGTGGTGTTCTACAGATAGCAGATCTGCAGAGGAGACCTTTAAAAACAAAAGGAGGGAGAGAAGGAGAACGTATCCCTTAATATATAACTGCAGTACTAGCAGTTCTGCTCACCTGTATTGTTGAAATGTTTAAAGAAGAGAAGATCCACAATGGGTGAGGGCGCAGAAAGTGTAGAATTAGGCACAACAAGGATAGCTGGAGGGGAGGGATTTGTATGAATGAATAGAGAGGAAGGTACAAGTCTTATTTACAAGCCATTATTCGAGGACGAGACAGACAGATAGGTAAAGATGGATGGATAGATGGATGGATGGATGAAAGGAAGGAAGGAAGGAAACACAGAAAGAGACTATACATATATCCCATTTACATGATCATAATGGGGAAAGGGGGAAAAGGTAGGGGAGAATAAGAGCATTTTAAAATCAGTATTCAGGAAAAGTCCTGGGAAATAAGGCAGTCGGTGTGATGTTGACGAGATCACCCACCGAGCATCGATTGCTCTATCAAATTTAATGATGCCTAGCACGTCTAATATGTAAAAAAAAAAAGGGTGCTTGACTTTTGACTGTATGTAACATTGACGGAAACCGCCAAGGTAAAGTGGAAAGATAATCTCTAAAGTAGACTGGAGTGCTAGCCCTTCTATATACACTAATGACGTCACTGTCGTGTGTAACACAAGAGACGGTGGGAGTCATCCCTGTTTCTGCTATTCCTTTGGGTTGAATTTGTGTGTCCTTGTGTGTTTGAGCTCCCAGCGGCCATAGGCTCTGTTGACGAAGCATTACGTCAGTCAACGTTGGCGAGAAAACTGGCGGACGGCAATCTTCAATATTTTATTGGTTGTCACGTAATATCATTTGAAGAGGAAAGTTGTTCCATTTTGTTCCTGGCCGCTGAGCAAACGGTCGTGTTTCCGATTCGTGTTTGTGATATTGATGGCGCACGTCACCAGGTTGACTTCTGCTTGGTTTTTTTCCGGACACACTTGCCATAGTTTTGTTCTCCTTGCTGAAAAAGACTTATGAAAATAGTGAGATAATTCCACCTTGCCACAACCCCCTCTATCGCCTCCTACTACTCCTCCATATTCTTCTTCTTCTTCTTCTTCTTCTTCTTCTTCTTCTTCTTCTTCTTCTTCTTCTTCTTCTTCTTCTTCTTCTTCTTCTTCTTCTTCTTCTTCTTCTTCTTCTTCTCCTCCTCATTCTCCACCTCCTTCTCCACCTCCTCTTTCTCCTTCTTCTTCTCCTTCTCCTCTCTCTTATCATTTTCTTCTTCTTCTTCTTCTTCTTCTTCTTCTTCTTCTTCTTCTTCTTCTTCTTCTTCTTCTTCTTCTTCTTCTTCTTCTTCTTCTTCTTCTACAGCTTCTCTTTCTTCTCCTCCTGCTGCAGCTTCTCTTTCTTCTGTCCTGCTGCAGCTTCGTCTTCACTACGTTATCCCGTCCTCCTCCTCTTTATCATCATCATCTTCCTTTCCCTGATCATCGTCTCATAATCTCATTTTCTCCTCTTCATTCTTCATTCCCTTCTATTTTTATTCGTCTTTGTCGTCCTCCTCAACGTTTCTTCCGTCACCAGTATAGAGCCGTCCAGTATATATGGAGAGCCGGTTCTGACATACCGGATTCGGCGTTCAGGTCATTGGAAGCAGAGGTGGCTGGCATTGTATCTTATAGATATAATGCTATATCAGCGAGTGTACTATGCACTTAGTAGTCATACTGAAAACATATAGCGACGCGACATTTAAAAAGACCTCAGTAGGTTAGGAAAGGTAGATAGCTGCTGTGTCATACATGGTTAGTGAATAAACAAGCCAGTGTTCAGATAATGGGCGGCCTGTGGCGTATCTAATTTAGAAGATTGACTTCCTTTCATATCGGTCTCATCATGGTATTTGCTTAACAAAATATTTTGTTTACAAGAAAAACCAATCGGTAGAGTCGGTCTGAAATAATAGCAGGAAGTCTGTCTGTCTGTCTGTCTGTCTGTCTGTCTGTCTGTCTGTCTGTCTGTCTGTCTGTCTGTCTGTCTGTCTGTCTGTCTGTCTGTCTGTCTGTCTGTCTGTCTGTCTGTCTGTCTGTCTGTCTGTCTGTCTGTCTGTCTGTCTGTCTGTCTGTCTGTCTCTCTCTCTCTCTCTCTCTCTCTCTCTCTCTCTCTCTCCCTCTATATATATATATAAATATATAAAAGCCCTTACTTATAACTGTGGCATTTGAAGAGCTTCGTTGTTTCAGTTTATAATCGACATGAAACTGATGCCAACAGCATACATAATTTATGATTGACACCTTTCACTAAACGGAGAGAAATTAGAACAAGGACAAGATTTATCCTATCTCATAGACACGCAATAACAGATTATGGCAGAAACCAAACAGAAATGAAAGAATATGAATGGCTAAAATCGTCTTCAGTAAGATGCGAAAATTATTGGCATCTAGAGTATGAGAATGGTCAAATGCTATTATATTCAACCCTGCTTTGTGGTACCGACTGTTGAACAACCAATAAGCAACTCGAACATCGAATGACGTCTCTGGAATTGTGGATATAAGAGGAATAGATCGTATTTCATGGAAAACAAACCAAAACTAAAAAGACCAGATTAAGGATTTACTCAGTACAGCAGAAGGAACTGATCGGATGGTAACTCTAGACACTCAAGTAGGATGAGTGCATAGATGTGAACATGGATAAATGCACAAGGATGAGTGCGTGTAGTATGAGTGCATTTATGTATAGGATGGATACATAAGACACGGTGTATGTAGGCGGATGGTAAGGGATCACGTATGGACAGGACAGTGGGAGTATAGCTGTGCGAAAGGTACAGATGAACGAGTACATGGATATAGAAATGTATTACTGTATGCATGTATGTGTGGGTATGAGTGTGCATGTGTGTATATATATATGGGAGCATGTATATTTATATATTTGTGTGTGTATAAATGACAGTGCACTCAAAGAACCCATAAATTGTGTTGCTAAATGTCTGTTAATTAATGAGAACAAATGGAATGAAGTGTGTACGCAGCAAGAACGTCATCAACATCCACCAGAACATGATAAGACAGTACCGGACAGGTCACATACCAGTAAAGCGACATAACTTAAAAGTGACACTACCAGACGATATTACAGACAAAGCGACACAAAAACGCACAAGACATGGAAGAGTGAATGTCACTACGTGTGGATGTACTCGTTTTTTATGAATGTAAGTACAAGCATATGCAAGAGTTTGTGTGTGTACGTAATGTCAATTAGGTATGCATACATGGATAAGTATGAAAGGACGTGCAAATATGTAGTGTTGTCTGCCTGTATGAGTACTCGAGTGCATGTTCGCATACACCTAGTTGGGTGCGTCCATATACTCTGGGGATTCATACACAAAACCATCCCATTCCACAGCATGCATACAACATGCACATGACCGACAGGACTCACAACAAGATATGACTGACAGCAAATAGGGAAAACAAGTGACTCGATAATGACAGGACTAGAACGCATAACCACCAATACCACCCCATCACTGGGATGATAGCAAAGGTTGGTAACGTGATATACATAGTCCCGGCAAAAGGCCACGCTAGAATCCAGCAAGACGGCAACGACGAGAAATGACTGAATGGCCTCCCGCCCCCTTTCCCCTCACCTTTCCCCAACTCTTTCGGATGCACTATGAGTTTAACAGAGAGCACTTGAGTTCGTTACCCAACATGCCACAGCAATTCTCATCGCCGAATATTTGGATCTCAAAGCGTGAGCTGGATGCTCCGGTTATATGGTATTTACGTTCAGCTTAGCTGTCAACACAACCCGATCACATAATAACAAATGACGACTGGACCCGCTTAAGGCTCCACATAAACTCTCACACACATATCCATTACATGACTAACCCGTTCATATTACAGGAAGACAACTATAAGACCACTATGGTGACACGCGGAAAATTTTCACATTTCGGAACTATTCAAATTCAAAAACTGTTTTCAGTACTTTTTGGCAAAATTAAAATACTCAAAATTTTAAAACAATAAATGGTGGTCCAAAGGACGTTGGGTATGGAAGCTCGCTTTTCTTCGAGATACGCCTAGCCAGATCAAAGGGAGACAGAACAAACAGGAAACACCAAGAAAGAAGAAGGAAGATATGCACCAGTGACAAAAGGAGCGGTTCTATTCGGATGGAAGCATCAAGCCCAGAAATGGCACAAACACTAGTATTCAGTCACGAAAGTGACGCAAATAACCCAGACCACAAATATAGGCGAAGACTGCTAGCAGCCTAGGCTAGCTAGCAGCAGTTTGAACGTGGTCGAGCATTTCTTTTTTTTTTTTTTTCCAAAAGGACTAGGACTATGATTTTATG